TAACCCCTTTGTTCTTTATTCTCAGCTAGTCAGTGATACACGGAGTTGATTAATTTAGTTGTGTTTTGTCGGTAGATTATCAGTTTATTGCTAGAGAATTTACACTTGCATCACTATGTCTGCAGCTCTAATGGGCCACGTGCCTCTTTCCCAAATCGGTGTGAAGAAGAATCTGTAGACTGCCTGCTCTTTGTCACTGTTAATGTGCTTCCTTCCCATGCTATGCCATTTCTGTCCCCTACTTTGGTACAGGAGGTAGCAGGAGGAGGGAAACCAGATGTCCCTTTGTGACGTTTTCAAGTTCCTCTGCTGTTCTCCTGCTTTTGGTCCTATGTCCCCCCGAAAACTCAATTTTCTGAGCTTGCTGACATAGTTTTCTAAAGACTTTCACAGGACAGGAACGGTAAACATAGATATGTGCACATTCTTTCTGATACATGTCTTGTGATGGACATCTCTCACGGCCAGTGTGGTTGGGAAGGTGTTATCCTGACTATCCAATCCCTGGCCATGGTCAGAAACCTATAAATTCTGAGAGAGGAAATAAAGCTCTCTCTTCCTTTCACCACACTGTGAGTTGTGTTTGTGTGACCTATTTCGTCTCCAGCAGCAACCGCCCTACACCAACATATTCAAAAGAGTACCATTCTGAAAAGTATGTTGGGCTATGGATCTTGAAGAAAGTTCTTTTTAAAATTTCATGTGAACATTCACTGAACACAAAAGAAGCATTAAAAGACTGAAGATACCAGAAGACATTACATTTTCAGTTTTGATGTAAAACTATTTCAAACAGATGTTAATTTAATCCTACTAAAATATATATATTTTTGATTGATTTTATTTGTTTTTCCAATAACTGTAGCAAATTAATATGTGCTAACTATGCTGGTATGTGCTGGAAGAGCTGTCTTCCAGCAACTTCTCATATTTGCACTTTCTTTTGAGTCATTGCTGCACCTATAGGGAAATTTTTAAGGCGTATGTTTTACTCTGAGACTCACTTTTTGTGATTGTTTTCATTACCGCTCATTATTTTTCAGAAAATTCCTCTTATTTTCACTGTCTGCATCATAAAACCTGTAAAAGGAAGACTATAAAGACATTGCTGATGACATGTGTAGAATAAAATACTGTGAATAAACAAATATTTTCAAAAAGTGCTAATAAACCTCCTTTAGAATTCAAAAGAAAAATATCGGTTTGTCGTACTTAAACTGAAAATAGAGGTACTGAGATGCTCACCATCATTTCTTAATTGCTCTGTCTTCAGTTTTAGGTATAATAGATTTCAGAGCAGGAGAGATGGTGTCATTGTAGAATGTTGTTACCTTTGTACCTAACCTGGAAGTTGTGCTTAAAAATAAACCTTATCTTTCATAGAGGAATATTCTGATTTGTTTTAAAGTTTATAAAGATTAGGATTCCTCTCACATGGATACATTTACTCTGTAAACTATTGCAATAAGGACTTTTGGGGAAGTCTACTTTAGTTTGTCCTAGTTTAGATGTCTACTCTAGGATGAGATGAATCACACCCTAAAAATGTGTGCTTTTTCAGTTGTCTGTAAGGGAAATCTATGTACTTAACCTAAATGTGGATGTCTGTGCTGTGAGCTTTTACACTCCGTCACATGAGTCCTCCTACAAACAGCAAAGAATGCACAGTTTTTCCTAGTGGCTATGTCAATGATTATCACTGTTAAATACATGCTCATTATTCCTAAATGCAGTTGGCATGACTTTTGCCTTCCAGACAATGTTAAATTGGTTAGAGTGATCCCTATTTTTGTTAGTTGGCAGTTTTTCACTTAAAAAGAACATAAAGGGGCCCATTGTGCCACAGATTCCCATTAGTAAATGTTCCATGTGCATAAAAATGTCTTAAAGCAGCATCAGAGGAAGTTCAGATTGGATATAAGGAAGATGTGGTCAAGCACTCGAACGAGGAAAGTGGTCATGGCCCCAAGCTTGTACCTGTTTAAGTATTTGGACAGTGCTTTTAAATATATGGCTTAACTTTAGGTTGCCCTGTGTGAAGGTTTATGGAATATATGTATTTTCTAAATTACTTTGATGGATATATTTTGTTGTCATCTCAAGGCTGAATTCACCAGAATGTAAGGATTTACTTTTTGTAGTTCTTGAAATGATCATCCCTGTGATAGCAGTGGATATCTAATTAAGTGACTTTTAAAGTCTCAAAATGTTAGCATGAAAAATGATTAAATTAAGAAAATACCATATCACACAAACAAGAATTTAGGATAAGATTTTCCCCTATTAAGTGCATTAGCAGATGTTCAAATGAGGCTTGTTATCTGGGTACACAGTTATGATATCAAGGCATTCATTGTAGTGATCACAAAAATAACTTGTTTGTACAACCATGTAGACTTTATGAAAAATCTGCCCCTCAGATCAATGCTAGTGTGGGCAGTGAGCAGTGATGGACCTCAGGATGGTGGCCAGGTGTATGAAGCAGGTGTGGTTTGTATCCAGATGATGCTCCCTGCTCTGAGGCAGAGCCCACAGCACTCTGGTGAGAGCACCACGGTGTGCAGCTGACACTGCCAGCAGAGCCAGAGGCAGCACAAATGCACGAGCATGATGGAGACTCTGTGCCAGCACTCCTTATACCTGTGTGAACAGCCTGTGACTTGAAGGGTAATGAGAAACTGTTACTTTGCAGAAAGAGAGAGCGAGCTGTATTACAGCAGTACGCACAAATCCTATCATCAGTGTTGTAACACAGCCTGCCCTCTTAGAAGGAAATACTTGTAACAGAAAATGGGCTGATCATTCCCCTGTGAGTGATGGAGAAGGCTTCAGGTCCCTGTGTGATTTTTTTAAACTCAGTTCTACCAGAGGCAAAATCCCATTATTTTAGAATGAGCTAAGGCCTAAGTACAAAAGAGGGACTTTTGCTGCAGACATTGCAGGTAGAATTTGATGTACCTTTTTATCCTTTCAGCATAGCATTTTACTTCGGAAGCACTCTTTCGATTTATATTCTATACAGCTAATTATATGTAGTGCTTTGTGACTTTAGTCGGAAAATATTGATTTAAAATTGCCTTCTACATTTAAGTGAGTGCTATTTGAGTTTAGGATGTGCTTTGTATTTTACTACATTTTTTTAGATAAAGTGGAATTACATTAATTTTAATAGCTAGAGATAATACTGTAAGAAGAATTCTCCAGGGCATTGACCTTCAGAGAAAGGTTGCTATGCAGATACGGAATTCCTGGAGAATATTATTACTTGGATAACTTTTTATCATGCATCAGATCTTACGTAATTAATCAATGTATGGTGTATATCCCAAAGAAAAAGACCTTCTTTTCCTTTTTTTTTTTTTCCCTTCAAAAGGGCTACTGTGACAGAACATACCTAGTTTCCACTAATGAAATTTCCTGAGAGAAAATTATCTGCTTATTTTTGTGGTGTACTAAGGTTTACTTAATAGGGTCAGGAGGAGATAAGAACTGGGAACTCACAGAGGAAAAGTAAACGATTTACATGAAGCTGCTGAAGTTAACTACAATTATTTAGATTAATTGTATGCAGGTGTTCTTGTCTCAAACATAAAGGTTGAGCCCTTCCACAGCGATTCAAAACATGTTGCAAAATGTTTTGCTACAGCAGAAAAACGTCATGTATATTTGAAATTAAGTTACCATAAGATGAGAATTAGGCCTGTAAATACTGTCATCCCGAACTGAAGCAAATACATACCCTCTCCTTACTTTTTGCTCACTTTCTAATGACTAGTTTGTGAAATACTCTAAACAGAGTAGTGCAGAAAATTTCTAGTCGTGACTGGTTTCAATATGATTAATTTCTTCCCAGGTGAGGAAGATGGGACCTTGCATTAGGACAGCGCATAATCTGGTACTCGGCTCAGTTGTTT